TTGGATTAGGCCTTTAGTTTTCCCTGTAACTGGTGTGAGTTTTTCTATTACAGCAATAAAGGAAGAAAAAAATATTTTAAAGAAAGTAGAAAATGTTACTAATTACCCACAAAATCAGCAAGAGGACTGAGGGGCAGGAGCAATATATGTACTGTTAACTTACTTTGTTCTTAAAAATGATGCATTTTAAGTTGATAATGTCTCTGACAGCCTGCAGGTTACAGATAGCTTTCGATCCAACACGAAAAAAAGCTGCCATCAGATACAGAAACTGATCTTTATATACAGTTAGATGTCTAGAAGATTAGAAGTTTGCTTTAGTGGATATTTAGCCAGGAAGTTTCCATTAAAACAAACACACAAAACATCTAAGATTTAGCAATTTGGATTAGTAAACAGTACTCCAAGGAATACAGCCTCTGGTAATAATATCTCTTACTGGTGGGAAATCTCTAGTGAAACAAATTTGTCAAACACACAAAAGGTATAAAAGTGAAATATAGTAATTAAGACTTGTGCTTTATTGATTGTGTGGCTTAAGTAATTTTTCATTACTAAGGTAAGATTTAATAAGTATAAGTAGTTAAAGATTCTGACTTGGCACTAGTCATTAGCATGTAATTGAACTAGTAAAAAAGATCAGTTAAACCTATGTTGATTACCACCTTATCTTTGAAAGGCAATTAAGGACCTCAATCATTGCAACAAGATTTGATTGTGCAGCCTTTATTGGACATTGATCTTTCAGCAAAGTGCAGTTACATTTTCCATTAATTTACAGTAACACAGTTTAACTCTGATACCCTAGACTGTTGACCCAGGTAAGATGTAATGCTAAGCACTCATTTAGGTTAAGATGCCCCCAGTAGTCATTACTGTTTAAAAGGCAAGTGCTGAAAAAAGTAGCTACCTGATCCATTGGGTTTAGAGTAAGGTTTCAGTTATCTGCATTAGTTGTTAAGTGAGGTGAAACAAAGCTCCTTGCCTTCTTATGTCATCTCTCTCATTTAAACATCATCCTCGTATACAGTGAAGAGATAATTAAAGCAAGAGTTACAAAGCAAACTGTACTTTGTTTCAAATGAGAACAGAGCAGATCAAGTCAGCAGAAAGTTTTGAATTTTAATCATGTGTGACCAAAGTACTGATATATAATCATATGTATACGTGAACATACATAATTTAGTAGGTATAAAAAGAACCTGGCAATTAAAACCTGGCACATAAAAATTAAAGCAAAAACATAATTAACCAGATGAAATCAAACCCCAACCAGATCCAAATAAAGTTACACTCTCTTGGCCAAAGTTGGAAAAGGTCTCCCTACAAACTACTGTTATATGTCTTTCTAACTGCAAGTTAGATCTTCTGATACATCCAAACACCAAACTCATTCATCCTAAAAGGGTCATCTATAATCTACTACATCTTCTAGGTGCTGCCGCCAATTTACTATTATCCCCATAGTCTTATCCCGGCTGGGGTTCAGCCAGCTAACTCATCTATGCTCCGATCTCAACCACACATTAGGTAAAGCATTTGATAGCACTCACTGGGTTGGATGTGATATAGAACTTGTGTCATCAGGATACTAAAAGCACAACAGCACGTACCTCCTCACTAACCTTCCCACAGGCTCAAATATACATTGAAAAGGAGAGAAGGCAAAATGAAATTCAACATTAGAGCATCCTTGGGGACGAGTAGATGCCCAAGACCACCCTCTAAGTAGGACAGCAGCAGCCATATTCTCTATATGATAATTAGATCTGAGCCCCCCACTTTCTAGATCTCCGAAGCCAGTCTATAACCTATCCAAATCAACAAACACCATTTACTTCAATGAGCTTTGCCATATTAATAATGCATATGAACCCAATCAACTTTAGAGAGGTGAATTCTAGAGACAATGCAGCTTGGATATTCTTTGGAATGGCACGCTGGTCTATATCCTTTCTTCATGCCCTACCCAATATCAGGAGATGCCAAGAAACTTCAAACTCTTAGGTTATACCTACACTACAACCTTTTTTTTTTTTTTTTTGTGGAAGAGCAGATGTGCTCTTTCAGAAGCTCTGTCTTCCTCCTCCCACGAGGAAGAAGGGCTCTTCCAAAAGAGGAGGCTTTCCTGAAATTTGGCCTAGTGTAGACGGGCCAAATTTTGGAAAAGCCTCTTCCGAAAAAACTATTGGGAAAAGGTACGCAATTGCAGAGCACAATTTGCGTACCTTTTTTCCAGAGACAAAATACAGGACTATGTAGCACTTTAAAGACTAACAAGATGGTTTATTAGATGATGAGCTTTCGTGGGCCAGACCCACTTCCTCAGATCAATATGTGTTCACTTTTTTTTAATTGTATCCTTTGGTATATATGGTTGTGACTATTTTCTTCCATTATTTGATCTGAGGAAGTGGGTCTGGCCCACGAAAGCTCATCATCTAATAAACCATCTTGTTAGTCTTTAAAGTGCTACATAGTCCTGTATTTTGTTTCAGCTACACCAGACTAACACGGCTACATCTCTATCACTTTTTTCCAGAGATCACTGTAGTGTAGACATAGCCTTAGGAAGGTGATTTCATTGGTCTCTCAAAATAAGAGAAGTTCACCAATCTATTCTATAGTATTGGAAAAGGGTTAGAGAATTTAGGGCCATCTGAGACCTCAATTGCTCAAACAGATTCACGAGGAAGACAACATTTTGGAGTGGAGACTCTAGATTCCGCTCTTACTAGATCTTCTGAAGTCAGTGACCTGAAAACGAACTCATCTGCATGTTCCCATCAGGCTGTCATGAGCAATTCCATGAGTTCAAGTATCCTCATTGTCAGTACAACACATCTTCCAGTTTGTCTGCTACACCCATGGGCTGCGTCTAGATTGACATGATTTTCCGGAAATGCTTTTAACGGAAAAGTTTTCCGTTAAAAGCATTTTCGGAACAGAGTGTCTAAATTGGCACGGATCCTTTTCTGCAAAAGCACTTTTTGCGGAAAAGCGTCTTTGCCTATCTAGACGCGCTTTTCCGCAAAAAAGCCCCGATTGCCATTTTCGCGGAAAACAAATCTGAGCTTTGCGCAAAAGGGATTTTTGCCTGAACAGGAGCAGCATAGTATTTCCGCAAGAAGCACTGATTTCTTACAGTATGAAGTCAGTGCTTTTGCGGAAATTCAAGCGGCCAGTGTAGACAGCTGGCAAGTTTTTCCAGAAAAGCAGCTGATTTTCCGGAAAAACTGGCCAGTCTAGACACAGCCATGGGGTATCCTAAAGGCATAGTGATAGCAACCAGGCTACAGAGTCTATGAATTCATCTATGCCCACTTTGAGATCATACACTCATCAGAATCTTGTCCCTAATATGTAACCTGATCCACAGATTATGTACAAAATATGGATTACTTCAGAATTCTCAGTTAACTTTGAGTATAAACAGATTCTTGCCTCAAAATCAGTCCAGTATTATCAAAATTACAATGTAGTTCTACACGAGAAGGTAAGGCAGTTAACAGAAAGGCAAGTTAGTCCTACGGGCTACAAGGTCCCTTATAGGAAACCACCCAGAGGACCTTCCCCATGTTTTAGACACATGGATTTGCAATAGCTTTACAATACAACTCCTTGATCCCCTCTTAGATGATTGCCTATTTCGGAGCTGACCTAGATGCAAGGAGAACCAGATTTTTTTGTTGATGTGGACTAGACAAGTAACTAAACTGCCAGTTTTCTCAATGAGGCAAAGGTTTGATAAGATCCAGATGTTCAGATGTCACAGAATTCAATATTATCCATTCATCCTTATCTGCTGTTCCTATACTTTCTTGTGTCTCATGTTTGCAGATAATTTGACGGGTAGGACTGCACAACAGAGCTTCAGAAGTTCCTCTCTGGATCTGGAACCATATCCAAAGTCCTCCTCATGGTCAGCAGCCTTTCCAGATGGGGAGCACTCTTGGAACAGAGCTTGTACCTCAATAGTGTTTTCCTTTTTAATTCAGACCACAGTGAGGTCACATCTGGAGTATTGCATCCAGTTCTGGGCCCCCCACTATACAAAGGATGTGGATGCATTGGAGAGGGTCCAGCGGAAGGCACCCAAAATGATTAGGGGGCTGGAGCACATGACTTCTGAGGAGAGACTGAGGGATTTGGACTTATTTAGTCTACAGAAGAGAAGAGTGAGGGGGGATTTGATAGCAGCCTTCAACTTCCTGAACGGGGGTTCCAAAGAGGATGGAGAGAGGCTCTTCTCAGTGGTGGCAAATGGCAGAACAAGGAGCAATGGTCTCAAGCTACAGTGGGGGAGGTCTAGTTTGGATATTAGGAAAAACTATTTCACTAGGAGGGTAAAGTATTGGAATGGGTTACCTAGGCAGGGGGTGGAATATCCATCCCTAGAGTTTTTTAAGTCCCAGCTTGACAAAGCCCTGGCTGGGAAGATTTAGTTGGGTTGGTCCTGCTTCGGGCAGGGGGCTGGACTCGATGACCTCCTGAGGTCTCTTCCAGCCCTAAGATTCTACGATTCATGGCTAAAGAACAAAACTTGGTCAGAGACTGACCAAAAGAACCCGACAAATAAATTCTTTATGCAAAAAAATAGATTTAATCTTTCATTTTTTATTAAACCAATTAATTTTTAAAATATACTGAGTAACCCTGACAATGAATATCCTAAGTATTTGTGGAAATGAACACACTACCCTTTATGAATAGCATATTTTCCATTGCCTACTCCAACAGGTCTTATACAGTAAGTCTTAATGAATCCAATGAATAATATTATATTTGAACTTTGCTCTCAGCCATCTTCCAGTTCATCTTTCACCATGATCAACTCCACAAGAGCAAGAGGTCTATTGATTTTCATGTAATACAAGAAAATATTACATTTGCTTAATTGTTACACAGTGAGAGCATTGAACAAGAAATCAAGTCTCTATTTAATGCTGCTAGCAGCACAGAATTGCAGTGATCAATAGGGTAGTTTGTCAAAGATGTTCTCTAAGGAGACTTGCCCATCACTGTATGGACAAGGAGTCACGTTGCTTGCATTTATTGAAAAACAGGTGAGCAAAGTCAGCAGTACACATTATCAGAAATCAAACAAGCTGCAGTGAGTGGAGGTGCAACTCCAATGAAAAGCTGTATTTATAGTCTGGTAATTAAAAACCATTTTATCAGCCTCATGTTGAGACCAAACCTTTACAGCAAAGTATTGACAAGATCAGTAGCAATGAATGAGCAGTATTTGACTTAAAACTTATGAGCTGTAGTTATTTAACTTTTGCCCATTACAGAGGAAATCAGTTCTAGCTATTCTAGCAAAATGCTAACCATGAGTTTTATTATTAATGAAGCTTAATGTAACTCTCTTCTGTGAAAGCTATTTATTCAGCTTGTGTCAAGAATATTCTTCAGTACAAAATATACTGGAATGAGTGCTCCTTGACTAAAGTTATATTTAGTGTTACTTTCAGTTGTATTTAGTGAAGCAGACACACTTCCTTCATAAAACATGGAACAGCATCAGTTCATTATATTAGTCATATTAGTGACTTTATCCTTTAAAATGCCCCTTGTATGTTGTAAGATGCTGCTGAGACTATTTGGAGCTGTGAGCTGCTGTATTACTTCTTTACCTCAGCAAGAGTGAGTTCTGATGAACAGATTGTGTCTGCCCCTAGCCACACCAGTCTGTCTTCCTCACTTGCAAACTCCTCAAAGTTCTCCCGGGCCAAACATCATCTGTTGTGCTAGTTAGTACCTAAGAAAGGTAAAACTGTAAGGAATGCGTTTGATTTTTTGAGGAAACCTATTTGTCTTAGCATGTATGATCTTCAGAAAGATTATTGATAAGTTCCTTTAGAGTGATAGTGAGAGGGCTGCATGAAAGGCCCTCCATCTCAGTGGGCTGCACAACCAGTGGTGAGCAACCTGAGGCCCATAACCCAGTGGGGTTTCACCCGCGGCCTGCACTCCCCCACACTTCCTATTCTTCACCCACAGCACTTTCAGAACACCGCAAATCCACTGATTTGTGATCTATCCCCACTCTTCCCCCCTCCCTCCCAGATTTTGAACAGTCACGAACAGCTGATCCGTGGCGTTCCAGCTCTGGATCACAAATCAGCAGATTCATGGTGCTCCACAAATGCCAGAATGAGAGGGGGAGGAGTAGAAAGTGCAGGACTCCAATACCTCAGTTCATGAGGGGTGCAGACTGGGGGTCCACAGGCTGCAGGAAGAACCCCAGTAGGCCACATGCAGCCTGCACGCTGCCCATCTCTGATTTAGACAAAGATACACAGAAAAAAAACTGCTCTGATGACTGATATGGGACAATATGAATTCAAAATATTACCATTGGGGTTCACTAATGCAAGAGCCACTTTTTAGAGGCTTGTCAACCACGTGCTAAGTTGTTTACAACATTTTCCAAGAGCATGTGTCAAGAATATAGCAGTGTTCAGCAACTCTTGGTCTGATTACAATAAACATGTTAATGCCATTAATAACCTCAAACCTGTAACTGCATCTTTTAGATGTGAGAAATGCAATTGACTACAGCAAAAGAAAACACAGAATTGTGAATTCAGGTATTGAAAGAGAAAAGCAGAACCAATTTTCAGATGTTTTCTTTTAAAATATATTTAGATGTGAATGTTCCATTGACACATACTACATAGTCTCTTGATGTGGATTTTAATTCGTGGAGTGGGGATTCGAAACTCATTTCAATATAACTATATAAAAGAAGGGTGCTATTACAGATTCCTTCAAACTCTGATTAGCTGCAAGGACAATTTATATATTGTTGAACACCTAGGCACAGAATTTAAAACTCTTGTCATTTACAATTATGTGTAATGTTTTTGGAGAACGCGTTGCTTGCCTTCAGGTAACATGATAAACATCATAACCTATTTCATGTATATAAATAGATTTTTAAAAATAATCCGAAGACTCTTCTCAGCAATATGCATTTCAACCACTGTCTTTAGAGCAAACACTTTTGAGGACTGTAGAAAAGTCCATTCATTTTCCAAAGCTGCTAATACCTTGCCTTCATTGACTCAATATTCACTTCATACTGCTGCCAAAACAGGAACATTTTTGTAACTAAAAAAAGGACTGTGAAGTCTTTTGAAGATGACACCACATTAAAAAGGAACACATAGAAAGCAAAGATTTGCTTTTAAATTGTTTATATTTTAAAGCAGCAGAAATATATAAATACACACAGCTGTGAAAACCCACCGAACCAAAGTGCTTGAATGCACAATTTCAGTACATGGCACCTTCATCTTCTTTATTCAGAAAATAAATAGTTACTGGGCCACAACTTGTGTGAACAGTCTCTGTGACACTGACAAGAAACCAGGAGCCAATTCCATATAATAAAGTTGGGATGCCTATAAAAGAGAAAAACGTGTTACATACAACCATTACAAACCAAGAGAACTAAAACAGTGATATCTAAACATGACTATGAAGGATAATATAAATATTACAGTAGGGGGCTCACTGTGTAAGCAGCTGTTCTAATAAATTCCCTGCACTGAAGAGCTTAGAACCATAGTCCCAATTACATACTGAGAACCACATGAGCAGATGCTGATGCTCATGGGTGTCTCCCGACAGTTCTCAAGGCAGGATAAGGGCCTAGTTTAAAATAAGATGTAACAAGTGGGGAGTGAACAGTCAGAAGAACTGGAAGGAATGCAGATGAGAGGAAAAGGGATATGAGACGCTTGGATATGTGGAGTAGCTATGCTTAAAGCTAATTTAGTCTTTAGTAGACTTGTAGGATTACAGGGAAATAGTGTAGTTCGTGACTTTACAGATCAATGGGAAAGGATGTCTCATGCACAAGGGATGGAACAAAAATGTGAAGGTGCATGTGGGAGAAGTTGATAAAGAAGTGATTATGGCTGGCAGTGTTGGCATCAACTATGCCAGGAAGGTATTTCAGGGGACGGCAATTTGTATTATAGTGTATTATATTTAGTGTACAACTATGCCAGGAAGGTATTTCAGGGGACGGCAATTATTATTATTCATTATTTGTATTATAGTGATAGGTAAGATACAAAGTGGTGGTATGAGGCCATGCTCAGAAGAGCCTTAAAATGTAAGAAGAAGCTGGTGTTATATTTGATGCAGTGAAGAAGAGGGAGTCCACAGAGGGACTCAGAGAGGTACTTATGCATGTGCCTAATTTTAAGCATATTAGTTGCCTAACTGACTTTAGTGGAATTATTCAATGCTTGAAGTGAGGCATGTGCTTTATTACCTTACTGACCTGAGCCCTCAAAAAAGGAAAGACCTGTACATGGGGGTGGTGGTGAAGGGTGTAAAAGCAGCCCTCCTCCCCCCCATGGTGCCCCAAGTAATCATACTCCAGCCTGCCAGAGGAAGGCAGGAGCAGCGTGCTGCCTGAGCCTCCCTCCCCCATGCTCTGGCCAGCTGGGAGAAGGCTGAAGCTGATTTCCCTGCTTACTTCGGGGACAATAGGGGTGCATTCATACCCTTGAGATCCACATTTATGAAAAGGCACACACTCCCAAAGAAATTCCTGTGTACGGGCCTGGATAAGATTTTCTGGTGCTCCATTCAGACTGTCTTAGCAGCCGAGCTTTGAAAGGACATGTGGAGGATTACTTGGGTGTCAGAGGCCAGAGAAGTGGAGGCTGTCATAGTCAACACAGAAGATGAAGGCCTGGATAAGAGTTTTGACTGTGCACACACAGAGTTTATTAGACACAGAACATCCTTAGTGCTATTACAGAAGCAGCAGCAAGATTTGGATAGAAGACCCAAGTATCAAGGCAGAGAGAGGACAGAATCAAAGAGAACACCCAAAGAACATTTTTAATACAAATTAGATAACCTAATCACTTTGAAAATTGTATCAGTAAACTTTGATTTATGCTAACAACCAAAGCCAAAACCAGTAACATTTGTTAATATGAAAGATTACTGTCTTCATACTAGGGATGTTTGAGTGTAAACAACTGTAGCAACATAAATAATAAATAAAAATGTATAGCGTCTGAAAAACATCACCAGGCAGGGTGTGATTGTATTAAGTATTGTGCAAGCAAGTAATAAATTGAAGACACAATATTTATTTTCAAGAGCCAAATTCTGCTATTATGTTTGTGCACTCACGTTGACATCAGTAAAGCCAATAGCAGTAGTTTAATTAAGGGCAGATTCTGGCTCACAGTAATATTAGAAATTATTTGTAAAAACATAGGTACATATTCAGATGGCATGGTATTTTACTTAAAGTTGATTGTGTCCCATGATTTGTTTAGGGATATCTTAATTTGTTTTTATAGTCTTTGAAACTTCATATACATACACACAACCAAAAGTTAGGAAAAAACTCCCAAGACATACTGTGCTGTACAGCTTGACAGTGGGACGAAGTCAAGCATTTAACTATGTGCAATATAAGTTATATCTAGTCACTACATCTTATTATGAAGAAAGTTAAAGCTGCTAAAGCTTGTCAAATTTGATTTTTTTTAAAAAACTATGTCAGATGCAAATATTTTTCTGGATAGTCCGATGGTGTCAGTGGGCAGGAAGTGCAGCTTAGAATTGGAATGAATGAACAAGTGGATACTTTAAGCCCCTGGTGTACAGCCAGTTCTGAAACGAACTAGCCACACACAACTGGCCAAACAGCCACATGTGCTAGTGTGTCGGGCGCCCCGGCTTTAAGCACTAGCGTAAGCAGTATTAAAAAAGTTTCTAAACTACGCACTAGTTAAAGTGCAGTTAATAGTCTTAGACATGTTTATATTAAAAAAACAACCCCAGTCCCTGGCATCAGCAATTCACCAGGCTGCCACGGACCCAGGGAAAGGTGACCTGCGGAGGGTTCAGCGAAGGGCAACATCGGGCCGGGATCTTAGCCAGTGCTACCCTGGCACAAGCCCAGGGACCCTCAGTGCAAGGGGGCCCCGATTGACGATTACTCCCCCCAACGATCACTCGCCGGATTTCACCTGGGCGATACAACGCGCCAGGGGCAGGAACAGAGCCCCTCTGGGAAAGGGGGGGCAGCCCCCCCATGGGCCCAGCCTCTGGCCGGATTTCACCTGGGCGATACAACGCGCCAGGGGCAGGAACAGAGCCCCTCTGGGAAAGGGGGGGCAGCCCCCCCCCATGGGCGCTGGCTGACAGGAGTCACGGGGGCCCGTGACTGAGGGGGGCTGGCAGAGGCTCA